CTGGCAGTCTAATAGGCAAGAATGCCAAGAGTCACCAGCATAAGTGACACCCGGCATGTCCCACAGAAATGTTATGCAGAGGATTAGGCACAAGAAGCAATTCTGTAATGCTTGATGTTGTAGGGCCAAAGGCCACCAATATTCCAGCCTAACTGGTTATCTCCCCAACTGTATTTGTATATATGTATTTTTAAAAGTAGACTCTATGCCCAGCATGGGGCTTGAACTCACAACCCTGAGTTCAAGAGTTGCACAGTCTACCAACTGAGCTAGCCAGATACCCCATATACATATCTTTTAAAAAAGGCAAAAGCAAGGCAAAGAGCCAGTGCGAGGATTACCTGTGCATCCACTGCCAATGTCATAGCAGGTATTAATATTCATTAATACCCAGATTAAACAAAACACTTTTGTTTATACACTGAAAAAATTTCCCTAACTGTAAGAGTTAATACACATTGGAACATATTAACCAGGAAAGTTGTGGCATGATATTCTCTGGGTGTTTTTAGGAAGAGTCCATGCCTGTCTTCTGGGAGCTGGGAAGAATAATGTGCTAATTGCTTTCCTTGAACTCCATGGTCCCGAGTCTATAAAAGTCAGTGTCTTTCTTCTAATTCATTCTTCACCATCATATTCATTAGGTTAACTTTCAGATCCCCCCCAAACTGTCTAGGCACTGACTTGGTCTAAAAGACTTGATGTAGGGCGCCTGGGTGGCTCAGTTGGTGACTGCCTTCGGCTCAGGTCATGATCCTGGAGTCCCGGGATCGAGTCCCACATCGGGCTCCCTGCTCAGCAGGGAGTCTGCTTCTCCCTCTGACCCTCCTCCCTCTCATGCTGTCTCTCATTCTCTCTCTCGCAAATAAATAAAATCTTAAAAAAAAAAAAAAAAAGACTTGATGTAAATTTTGAACCTGACTCTGCTCTTATAAAAATGTTACACTCAGGGCGCCTGGGTGGCTCAGTTGGTTAAGCGACTGCCTTCGGCTCAGGTCATGATCCTGGAGTCCCTGGATCGAGTCCCGCATCGGGCTCCCTGCTCAGCAGGGAGTCTGCTTCTCCCTCTGACCCTCCCCCCCTCATGTGCTTGCTCTCTCTCATTCTCTCTCTTTCAAATAAATAAATAAAATCTTTAAAAAAAAAAAATGTTACACTCATTCTTCAAATTTACTTTTAAATAACTATAATAGGGGCACCTGGGTGGCTCAGTCATTAAGCGTCTGCCTTCGGCTCAGGTCATGATCACAGGGTCCTGGGATCGAACCGCACATCGGGCTCCCTGCTCAGCCAGGAGCATGCTTCTCCCTCTCCCATTCCCCCTGCTTGTGTTCCCTCTCTCGCTGTCTCTCTCTCTCTCTCTGTGTCAAATAAATAAGAATTTAAAATAAATAAATAAATAAATAACTGTAATAGCCACATGCAGCTAGTGGCTGCTGATCACACAGCACAATTTATAGCACACTTTTATTATCACAGAAAGTTCTACTGGAGGATGCTGTCTAGAGTCATTCACGGGCCTTTTTTTTTTTTTTTTTTTTTTAAAGACAATTCCACCCCCAACGTGGAGATCCGACCCTGAGATCAAGAGCCCCATGCTCTGCGGACTAAGCCAGCCAGGCGTCCCTCATGCTCCTTATTTTCACAGTATTAGCGTTAAAATCCTCCCTACCCCCAAGCTTCTTAAGTGTTTCATTTCTAACAATACTAAATCTATCTAGGGGGAAGCAATTCCTGAATCCCAAATTCAATTTATGAGGTTTCACAAAGACAAAGTACAGAATCTCGGAGATTCTATGTTTTAAACTTTATTTATTCAAGAAATGTTTGTACTTTTAATAACCTTCTATGCAAAGGTTTAAGGAAATAAAAACAATAAATAAATAAATTCTAGCTGTGTGCTATATTATTAATTTTCCGACATAAAAACATTACCTCACCCAAGGAGAATAATTACGCCCATGAAATCTCATAATGAAGTAATTCATCAATTAAAAAAGGTAAAAAAAATGGGGTGCCTGGGTGGCTCAGTTGGTTGAGCGACTGCCTTCGGCTCAGGTCATGATCCTGGAGTCCCTGGATCGAGTCCCGCATTGGGCTCCCTGCTCGGCAGGGAGCCTGATTCTCCCTCTGACCCTCCCCCCTTCTCATGTGCTCTCTCTCTCTCTCTCATTCTGTCTCAAATAAATAAATAAAACCTTAAAAAAAAAAAGGTTAAAATCTTGAAATTTGGAAAAAAAGGATGAAATTTTTTTAAGATGAAGTATGTTTTACTGTGTTTTTTTTTTTTTAAGATTTTTTTTACTTATTTATTTGACAGAGAGAGAGCGAGAGCAGGAACACAAGCAGGGGGAGTGGGAGAGGGAGAAGCAGGCTTCCTGCCGAGCAGGGAGCCCGATGTGGGACTCAATCCCAGGATCCTGGGATCATGACCTGAGCCGAAGGCAGACGCTTAACGACTGAGCCACCCAGGCGCCCCTACTGTGCATTTTTAAAAGGCATCTCTGTGGATAGTAGTCTACTAACACTGAAAGGCTATAAAATATTCTAATTTATATCTCATTTGCATTCATAGCACAAATACTTCAAGTAACCCAAACTGTGTGCATCTACACAGGCTTTTGCTTTTAAAAAAAAAAAAACCCTATCCTTTCCGTACCTAAACAAGAGCAAACTACAATGCACTGCAAGAAAAATCAAGCACATGTAAATATGCATCATTAACTGCAAATAAAACTTTAAAAGGTTTAATCAGAAATAATTTCCTTTGTTTATCTTGTTGCTTAAAAGATACCTACTAAGCAAGTTCCTCATCCAGGAATTCTTCCCCCCACTCAAATACAAAAACTGGGTAGCTAATTGGGAAAAATGTGAAATTGACACTTTTTAATTCAATACTTACATAACAACAAAAATATAGTCGGGTTCCTTTAGTAAAATAAATGAGGAAAAAATCTACTAGAATTAGGGAAAGGGAGAAGGGGAGAGTGAAAGACAGTAAATGCTGGGCTTTACTGAGCTGAGTCTACCAATTAACTGCTTTTATTGTAATTATTATAATTATTTCATTAATTTAGCTAAAGATTCCAAAGGTTAAAAACAAATTCTCTTCAAAATTCTGATTTAGCTATTCATCAGTTAAACTTCTATTTATAAAAATTAAGTTGCCTTCATGAAACCAAGATGAATTCAGGCTAATCAAAGAAGTATTGCTTTTTGGGTTTTACCTGGTCCGCAAGTTTCCCACTCACTGTGTTCCTTGATACAAGCGTTTAAAACTCTAAATGTGTGACTTGTCAAAATCCCCACAACACTAAACAAATAAAAATTGTTTCCTAAGCCATGACCTTACTGAAGCCAATTCAGTCCATAAGGCTGTGAGTTTAATTTTTAACCAGGTTTTATCATTTTGACCTTGGATGCACAAGTCAGGAGAGATCACCAGCACTGTAAAACTAAAAACGAAAACAAAATCTTCCCATTTGATGTTAAATTCAGAAAAAAGGAAGTGAAGGAAAACTGAATTCTTAAAGAGGGGAGTAAAAGGCAACTAGACCAAACCATGACAAAATGGCTTGCGGGGAGGGGTGGTACAAAGCAGCAAACTAAATTACAAATAGTAGCCCCACTGTTAGTTTCTTTTAAAAACTAGTAATTCCTTTCAGGGGATGTTGTACTAAGGCAGTTAACACTTAGGTTTGATGATTAAGGACCTTTCAGCTACTTCAGGAAACTGACTCCAAAATTACTATCAGAGACAGTAAGATGGTGAGGATAACTACATTTGAGACCTCAAACTGAGTACATAATAAAATTAATTACTGACACTGTCTTTTACATACTATATCACATACAAAGTTTCCCTTTCATAGTATAGATATACAGCAAGACTCCTTTTTAAAGAGCATCTATTAAAGGATTAAATTTGTTAACAATTCCTAGCACCAAATGAATAACATGTACACACTTATTTTTGGATACCAAGTCATGACACAGTTAATGAAAACTTAAGTCAAAATATTTTCTCAACTTTTTAAAACCTGGCATTTAGTAGATTTAGACATTAAGTCTTTCTAAAATAATCCAAAATTTAGTATCTAAAATCTTAATCCTTAATATCCCTTAGAATATAGTATTGCACATCAAGTGACTCATTCCTGGCATACATTTCTGAAGGACTTGTGCAAGTCAGTACCTTTCTTATCCAAATACCAAAAGTCCATGACTAGCCTTATTTTAAAACTGCCCTACAAAATAAAGAGGACACACCTTACACGTTCATTTCCAAAAGAGAGCCCTGCCCAGACTTTCTCCATTTAGGAGCCATTGATTATTTACCTTTTCACTGGTGGTGAGAGAGGCCAGGGCTGCCAAACATAATCAAGCAGTCGGGCTGCGCTTTCCTGATGAAGCTCAAAACATCCTGGGGTCTACCACCTAAATATTTTAAACCTTCTTCAGTCATGCAAAGACTGAAAACACAGAAATGTTTCTCACCTAGAATTTCAACCCTATTCAATTAAAAAATCCTTGTAAGGATAAATTTCTTCTCACCAGGATACTGAAAAAGCCTAATATTTTCAGCTTTTTATACTAAATTTGTGGGTTGGTTAAAAAAAAAAAAAAAAAAGGGCAGTTCAGCAGAAGTTTCTCTGAACAATGAAAATATTAGGCTTTTCCAAAAGTCGTACATGTTTGCTTGGTATGCAAAAATTAATTTCTGAAGCAACTCAATTTTTTAATTAACTCCAGCTTCCTTAAGCTGGGTTGTATTTCCTTTTTTAAAACTCTGAATTATTTACAAATATACATATATTCAACGATTTTGTCTGGCACAAGGAAAATATTGCTCAACAAGTCTACTCCCTTAACATGTATTCTTTAAAAAGTGTTTTACTGTTCAATTAAAATTAGTATAAAAAACCCAACTCACTGGCAAAGTAGAAAGAAGGGCTTGTCTCCTTGTTGTATGGTAATTTGGGACATGCTGAATTTGGGAAATAGAAAGGTAAATTAGCCTTCTGAGGTGTGCATTTTCCTAATTTTCTGGAAAGGTTGACATATTTAGTAATTTTTTTTGTATTCATGCATAAATCATTTTTCTTATTTTACAAGAGATGACAAGCACTTTAAACATTGCTACAAAATTAAACAAGAAAGGACTGAACCAAAAGATACTTTTTCTTCTGTACTGATGTGTCGAGTTCCACATGCTGACTTGCTTAAATGAAAGGAATAAAATCATAATCTAATCAAAAGACCAACATGGCATTCCACTGAACAACCTGAATATAAATAATGTACCAAAATAAGAGAATATTTACCAAGTTTAATTCAAAAGACTCAAACAATTTTGTATATCATTATTAATAGAAGCATCATTATTCTGTAAGTTCTTTATTAGGCATCTGAAAGTGAACCCAAAAATTTAGAAACATAATAATGGTAATATTAAACATGAGTATAATATCATTTATTAAAATATCTACATAAATGGGTGTGTATAAGTACATTTGGAAGGATATGCACCAAAATGTTAACAGGTAGTTGTCAACTGGAAGGATAATAGGTTCATTTTAAATCTTTTTGCCTCCTGTATTTTCTCATTTATCTGCATTAAACTATCAAAAACAAACTCAAAGAGGATTCTGGATCTAACTCTTCCTGATGGCTTCAGTTAGTAGAGAAATTTTCGTTACTATTTCTGAAAGGGAAAACACCGCTGCCAAAAACAAAATTAGGTGAATTAGGAGACCAGGAAACAAAAAGTAACTTCTTAGGAGGGAAGGGGCGAAGGCAATGATTTAAGTTAGATTAAGGTCAAAGAGATGAAGTTTGTGATCAAACTCCTAAGATAACTAGAAAGAGAACAAGGTCAAGAACTACTTAAAATGTCTAATATTTCTCCTAGCAATTTAGCTGTTCAATAATCTGTCAGCATATTTATATTAAATATACCAACCATTTAAAGACAATAATCAGTCTTTCATTTTGTAGTCCTTAGTGCCCTTTCTATTCTCAAAGCCTTTTGCTATGGCTGTTAACAATGAAAAAATGACCAAAGGGTGACACAGAACTGTCGCCAACATCTGGGTGCATATTCTTTTGTTGGCATAAAAAGTTGAAAATATTTAGATAGAATGAAGCTTCAAAATAGACATAATTCATACTCAAAATACTTGGTTCCTTTGGGAATACGCAATACAAACTGTTCAAGGGAAAGAAGTGTAAAATTAGCATTTCCATGCAACAGATTTGTCTTAGTTTAAAATAATGTACTTTTAAAAGTGTCTTGGAAGATCTAAAATAACTGAAATAAATTACTGAAGAATTAATGAACTTTCTTTACTAGGTTAAACTATGGCTTATGATGGCAAAGAATAAAACAGTTCATTTTCTAGTGTTCTTTTTAGAGTATGAAGTATCCAAATGAGAACCTGAGTAACCAGCAACAACCATATCAAGTCCACAGCCTCACTCCAGTCTGCCCTCATCAACAGACGTCAATTAACTACAACCTGTGTGAACTGCAGGAGAGTAGTTTCAGGTCTGGCTGAGCAACTTTCTCCTGGCAATAAAGAACTAGCCTTCATGACAAATCATGCCAGATTTCACTGGACATTAGACCTAGAGTTTTATTTGCAGTATTTCCTATTTACCCACATATGAATTGACTTCAGGGTCCAAGGACAACTACTTTTCAAATGTAAATGTTTTGGGAAAGTAGTTTTAAACCATTAGCGTCTTAGATACAGTATTTACTATACAGGCTATTTCAAACCAATGAACATCCATCCAAAAGACAAAACCAGATGCTGGCAGTGAGTGAACACACTGAGGAGAAAGATTCTTCTCAACATCACAGTATCACTACAATGTCTCATAAGCATGGGTACACAAATAGCTATTCTCTAAAAAGTAATGGAAATTTTAGCTCAAAAGTTTATATCTTATTCCAAGAGGAGTATGCCAGAAAATGGGAGGGGGAAAATGTTTTTTTCCACTTGTTAAATCATGATGTATTTACCAGAAATATATAAAAAATCATAATGAACTTTTTCATCACTTAAGCCTTTAGCAAACCAGAAAATTGTTGAAATGTATACAAATTGCTTAAAAGCGTATGTGATGAACACGCTTTTATGCAATTTCATACATACTTAGTCCTGGTTAAGACAAGCCAATGAAAAGCAATCATAACCAAAATCATAAGCCAAATCAGTCTGTTGGTATTTTTTTCAATTAAATTATGAATGGGTTTCTTGTAAGAAAGTTTCCCCAAACGTGGCAAATACATCATTTTAATTTAAAGGGCATAATCCACAGTAGAAAGTTTTAAGTGATAATGTGTAAAATAAAGATTGGATTTAAGTATTTTACAAAAACAATGCCTTTAATCATTTAACATTCCTATCACTGCAAACGTGTACAGTGGGAGCATGCCTCCAGGAAGAAAGCACAAGCAGCGGGTTATGGGTGACAAGAAACTTCACTGCTGCTGAGTCCTTATTCCTATGAACCTACAAAATATCATAACTGTAGTCATTAAAAAGGTTTTAAAAGGTTTAAAAATGAAATGTCCACATAATTGTTTGTAATGATAATTTCTCATAGTGGTATACTTTTCATTTGTATGAATAAACTTAAATTTCTTTCCTCCCACTCCAAAAAACTGAAATGCCAATGAGAAAACCTAAATGACAATACAGGAGTGCTCAGGAAAGTTCAAAACAAAACTTACATCTTAATGAAACTAGCACTAAAGTTTTTTGAAAAATATAATATGGGTCAACTCACTGACTCTTTTATTATAAGATATGAGTGGGAAATGTCATTTTAAATTGTCAACATTGAAAACCATATTATTTTAGTACTTTAGACAGATGCAAAGTTGACCTGCACAAAGCTCACCAGCCACAAAACTAAGATGGAGACTTTTGCCTATTATTCTTTTATATATTGTTTAATTATTTTACATAGGATACTTCTCATTTTAATTTTACCATTGCTTATAATGATTATATTTAAAGTGTGATTCATGTCTAAAGGAGATCCAGTATTATACTATTTCGACCCCTTAAAATCAGCATGAGGCAGAAACACAGTAGCATTCATTTTAACAAACAGCAATAAAAATATGTAATGCCAATGACTGCCAGAGGAAGGAGTGAAGCAGAATGCTTTCTTGCTAGAGAGTGCTCTCATTGTGGTAAAACTTTCTTGCATGCCTTAGGCAGGCCATACCAAATGGTTGTAATACTGATGAGGAAGAGGAGGAAAAGGTCTTTCTCCACAAATGATAATTTCTGTTATACAAATCATTCTATTTCACTTAAAATAAGGAGAGATATTTGAAGACCGACAAATTTCAGGAACAGAAGGTGAAATGATGTTGCCAAGACTTATAGAAATGGGTTCATCTCTTCTTTAGATTCTTGACCCTCAATAGTATAAAAGGCTAAGTTATTCTTAAAAGTTTCTTTCCAGAGCTTTAAAATAAATTACTAGTCACTCACACTGAAAGAGAGAAACAAAATGCTTCCTACCATACATCGCATGCGTCTGCTCATGAGCCCCGTACTGAGTTGCTGAAGAAGACACTAAACCAGGCTGGGCATGTGCTGGTGGTGCCATCATTCTAGCATTACCCTGTATCACAGGACTATAGACATGAGGATGCTGTGTTCAAACAAAATATAAAGAAAATACATTAAAGTATCGAATAGAGTCAAGCAAATTTTAGTTAGAGGTCTTAACTCCACGCTTTCCAGGGTTACAGAAACAACTCTGAAAATCCTAAAATGAATGTTCTTGGCTATTTCCTTTGAAATACTTACACTGATCAGCAACCTTCTTATACTAAAAAGGCCCCCAAATACTTAACTATCTACCTCACTATAACACAGAGCACAAAATGTAAAGGAAAACCCCTTTACCATATTAAAGGTTAAAACTGAAAGTTATGTAAATGGAACAAAAATAGAGTTAGATCATATCAGCCTTACCTGAGACTGATAATGTGGCACATGCTGAACAAGAGGCTGATTTGGAAACTGCTGAGGACTATAGGCAACATATTGTGTGGAATAAGCTGGTGGGGTGGCCACAATTGGTGGGCCCGCTGCTGAGGCTGGGTGCATCATGGTGCTCTGATGATGCTGGTCTTGCCGCTGTTGGGGCATATTTGGTACTGCAGAAAAGATGACTTAGTATTAGAAAATACCATCTCCTTAGAATCAAACACACGAACACGGTCCAGGAGGCTGTGCGTGATGTGACCCTCCTGCCTGCCTCTTCAGTGCCATGTTATACCACTCCCACCACCACTTCAGCCACTCTGGCCGATTTTCCTATTACATATGCCTCAAACACCAATCCCCAACCCTCAGCTTGGACAACTCTGACTCAACCCTCAGGAGTCAGCCTGAAAGCAGCTTCATCCGAGACCCTCTCTAATGACCCCCAGATTTTATCCTGAGTCCCTGTAAATAGACTCTTTAAGCACTACGAAAACTTTCCTTCATACTACTTTCTCAGATAAGATAATCCCTATCTGATAAACCGAATTATGCCACTTGCTACAGGCGGCTATTAGAGTTATTCAAAGAAAAACAACAGCATAAGAAAAAAGCCAAAACAGACCCAACACTAAGCTTAACTCTATCTTAATTTCCCATCACTGAATTCTTACACAATCTCTTGCTCTTTCTCAAGACACAGCATCACACACTACAGTGTAGCAGGTTTCTAATAGTTCTTTTTAAAAATCACTTTGTCTTTTATTATTATTATTTTAAGATTTTATTTATTTGAGAGAGACTGAGCGAGCGAGCTCAGGAGCAGGGAGGAGGGGCAGAGGGAGAGGGAGAAGCAGACTCTCTGCTGAGCAGAGAGCCCCACATGGGGCTCAATCCCAGGACCAAGATCATGACCTGAGCCAGAGGCAGATGCCCAACCAACTGATCCACCTAGGTGGCCCTACTTTATGTCTTTTATTATTATTCCACACAGATTTCTGCCTCATGGTCCCCCCCGTGTTAAAACTCTAATTAAGAATTCAGGGGCGCCTGGGTGGCTCAGTTGGTTGAGCGGCTGCCTTCTGCTCAAGTCCTGAAATCAAGTCCCGCATCAGGCTCCCTGCTCAGCATGGAGTCTGCTTCTCCCTCTGACCCTCTCCCCTCTCATGCTCTCTCTCACTCAAATAAATAAGATCTTTAAAAAAAAAAAAAAAAAAAGAATTCAGCTCAACTGGGGTGCCTGGCTGGCTCAGTCAGTAGAGGATACAATTCTTGTTCTTGGGGTGTGAATTTGAGCCCCACACTGGGCGTAGAGATTATTTTTTAAAAATTTAGGGGCACCTACGTGGCTCAGTGTGTTAAGTGTCTGCCTTCGGCTCAGATCATGATCCCAGGGTACTGGGATTGAGCCCCACATCGGGCTCCCTGCTCATGGGGAACCTGCTTCTGCCTCTCCTTTCTGCCGGTGCTCTCTTCTCTAATGTAAAATCTTAAAAAAAAAAAAAAAAAAAATTCAGCACAACTGTCATCTCCTCTGTAGTATCTTTCCCAGTTCCCCCAAAAGAGCTAGCTGCACGCTCTGTGTACCTTCACCTTACATGTCTATTAGAGCACTGATTGTTGTCTGTGATGGGTTTTGTGGTGTGATGTTAACAAAGCCACCTGAGGGAAGGAACCATGAACCACTGCTTACAACAAGGTAGGAGGCATAAAGAATGTATAACTCGGCATGTTCATAAAATCATCAGAATTATATAAGTAGTTACTAGTTGAGAGAGTTTGTTTATTTTAAATATTTCAATTTTCTGGGGCACCTGGGTGGCTCAGTCGTTAAGCGTCTGCCTTCGGCCCAGGTCATGATCCCAGGGTTCTGGGATCGAGCCCCGCATCGGGCTCCCTGCTCAGCACGAAGCCTGCTTCTCCCTCTCCCAATCCCCCTGCTTGTGTTCCCTTCTCTTGCTGTCTCTCTGTCAAATAAATAAATAAAATCTTTTTAAAAATAAATAAACAAAATATTTCAATTTTCTTGCTAAAAATTTAATGACTTTCTGAAATTTAGGAGAGCTAGTTATATAATGTTTTATGTATTTAGAAAAGTAAATGTGGAAATGGAAGAAACGTGTATACAGTAATATTGTTCTGAATTTGATCTTGAGAGTCCATATAATTGAAAAAGCAATTCCTTTTAGTAAAGAAAAGCCACCCCAAACTCCTATAACATTTTTTAACAAGTGAAAGTTCACTATTTCTTTTGATACTTGATTATAACCCTCATACATTTAAAAAAATTAAGTAAAAAAGCCAGTCAAGTGTACAATCTTTTTTAAAATTAAAATTCTAGGGATGCCTGGGTGGCTCTGTCAGTTAAGCATCTGCCTTCGGCTCACGTCATGATCCCAGCATCCTTAGATCAAGCCCCACATTAGGCTCCCTGCTCAGTGGGAAGCCTGCTTCTCCCTCTCTCTCTGCAGCTTTCCCTGCTTGTGCACACGCAATCTCTGTCAAATAAATAAATAAAATCTTTTTTAAAAATTTAAAATTCTGTTACACATACAGAAAATACTTGAATACAATTTTAAAACATAAAAAATTCAACAATACTAAAGAAAATCTTCCATCCCACTATTTGCATACTCTTTTTTCCACTAACAGCAACCACTGTGTATGGTCTTCTAGATTATCTTCTATGCATTAGTACATACGCATATGTATTTATACAGACATATACTTGGGTTTATGGTATATTTTCTTCCTTAAATTGAATTTATCTTAATATTAAACTATAATTTAGATGGACCATAGTTTAACCATTTCCTTATGTCCAGTGGTTTTCAACTGAGAACAATTTTTCAAGGGACATTTGGCAATATCTGGAGACATTTTGGTTGTCAAAACTGGGAGAAGGGGAGGACCGCTAGCATCAAATGGGTAAAGGCCCAGACACCTGGGTGGCTCGGTCAGTTAAGCATCTGCCTTCAGCTCAGGTCATGATCCCAAGGGTTCTGGGATCGAGTCCCGCATTGGGCTCCGCTTCTCCCTCTCCCTCCCCCCACCCCCTGCTCATGCTTGCTCTCTCTCCCCCAATCGCTCTCTCTCTCAAATAAATAAAATCTTTTAAAAATATATTTTTTAAAAATGGGTAAAGGCCAGGTATGCTAATAAACCAAAAATACCTGTCCCAAAATGTCAACAGTGCCAAGGCTAAGAAATTCTGCTCTGTGTTGATCAAGTTCTTGACTTTGGCAGATTTTTAAACACAACAAAATTTTTCTCACAGGTTGTAAAAAACACTGCATTTGAACCACCAAGAAGACAAAGTGGTTTTATGCAAAGGCCTTACTATCATGCAGGAAAGATATGCCTTATACAATCTATGACTGCATTTCAGAAGCAAGTTCTTGACAGATAAAACAGCACGATACAAAATTAACACAAAGACCGCAATAGCCTTCATACATAGTACTTCATAAACTTAAACTTACTTCATAAGTAACTACTTAAACTGCAGTGGAAAACACCCTGGTTTATAATAACAATAAAAAAAGAAGATACCTAAGGTATAAACTGAAAAAACACACACTATCTTTTAAGAGAAACTTTAAAAAACCACTAAAGATACAGAAGCAGATTTAAAGAAGCAGAAAGGCATAATTGTTCTTGCATAAGAAGACTAAATAAAAAGACAGCAATTCTCCCCTAAGTTAATATATAAATTTAATGTGATTCCAATAAAAATGCCAATTGGCGAACTGAATGTTAAAAACCATGAGTTTGTACTGACAGAACAACAAAAACCGTCATTGGTCAACCTTTAGAGAATAGTATGAAATCAACTCATTATTTTGAGAACTTTCTTGAAATGATGACATTTTAATTGCACAAACTATATCTCACAGTAACCAGTTTGACAAGGTAAAGTTTTTCTTTTTTTAAGATTTTATTTATTTATCAGAGAGAGAGAGAGAGAGAGAGAGCGCGCGTGAGTGAGCACACACAAGCAGGGGGAGTGGAAGGCAGAGGGAGAAGCAGGTTCCCTGCTGAGCAAGAAGCCTGATGTATAGGACTCGATCCCAGGACCCCGAGATCATGACCTGAGCCACCCAGGCATCTATAAAGCTTTTCTTTATAGAAATATTCCATCTAATAATTGAAGAGGAATAATAGAGAATGTCACCATCTTGCAACCTTTAATGAAGTGATGGATCTAGGGCGAGACAATGACTGTCAGTGGCCGCTAAAACAGAGAAGAGCTGGTAGGAAATGTTATCCCGAACAGGTAAGGCTATCCTACTATCATAAAAAAGAAAGATGATATCATGTGACTCCTAATGATAGTACACACTTCATCTATGAGACATTCTAGATTAAATTTAAAAAACTATAACCTGATCTTATCAAGCCTCTCTAGATATCTACTATAGGTTTGCAAGGATTACAGAGAACAGAGGGCCACTTTAAACACCACCACGGAGATGCAATTCCTGAAATTCAAATTGTAGGAAAGAATACAGGACAAAGAAGCTGGATTTAAGTAAAATGTAAAGGGGGTGGGAAACTCAAGGGAAAATTTTAAGAGGGACTTATCATTAAAAGAGGTACATCAATCAAATAAAAAGTGTGCATTTTGGATGATGGTTAGCCATCATCTGAGCTTTCAGTGAGTTCACATATTTTATATATATATAAAACAAATAATAATGTCAAATTTTGAAATAATCAGAGAATTACCAAAATTACCAAATGTGACACAGAGAGAAATGCTGAGCAAATGCTGTTGGAAAAATGGTGCCAACAGACTAGCTTGAAACAGGGTTGCCACAAACCTTCACTTTGTAAAAAAGGCAGTACGTAGAGTGTAATAAAAGGAAGTATGCGTGTACCTAACACTCTAAGGTAACGCTTTACCCTAAGAACAGGAGCAATGTAAGGATCACATCACTGAGAAGACTTAGCCAGGGCAATAAAGCGAGAAAAAGATACAGTGACTAGGTTATGATTATGTACACAGAAAATTCTAAGTCTAAAAGAAGCTACTAAAAACGATAAATGTGTTTAGTGAAGTGGCAAGACACAAGGTCAGTATTAAAAAATCAAGTGTATCTCTATATATTTGGTAAACAATGTTAAAAAATTTTAAAACACTGAAAGGAGCAGCATAAAAATATGAAATACC